AGCTACCTACCATTTAGATTTCGTGCCCCTAGGATGTCTTGATCATGAGATATCAAAACCAGAAGTTCCGCTCCAGTACAATAAGAAGCCGCTAGGGGGTCCAAAATCTAATCATTTCCAGGTCTCATCAAGACCTGCCCACCTACTAAGTATCAAGACAATCTATTTAAGCGAAGGCGAAGGTAAAAAAGGCAAAGATGTTGCTATGCCGGACTTTAGTACGTACTTAGTCGTCGGTCCTTAGATATCTTTGAGATACGTATGAGCTTCCAAATTTGCAATTGTAAACATGTGGTACACAAATATTTCAACTCCATATAGCTTTGAAGGTTGGTGTAGCTGATAATTGTCGTTGTAGCCCTACCAAATTGAATAAACATACAGCTAGCTATAAAGTGCTTTTACTCTCCGTGCCAAGGCCTTTGGTATATAATGGTACACAATGCACATTAGTAAGCGTCGGGCCTGGCCGAAGAGAACAGAAATACTAGTCTATCAAAAAAGTACACGTACAATCCGTCATTCCGTCTGAGGACAGTCATGTTTTACAACTTGGCCATCAATACAGACAGAAAAATAATGATTTACAAAAACACCACTCACATTTTTTGCACATATATTATTCCGTAGCTTCTTTTTGTACATAAATGCAATCTTGATGTGCTTTTCAATGGCTCAGTATAAATATAGGGTATTTTGTCTTGGTCATAGCCAATATATTGCCAGAGAATTTATTCAGACGTATAAAAATAGACGTTGGTGGTGGTAGTAATAGTATTTCAATGACTTGACACATGGTATAGTACTGTTATCATTCCATGCTAATGTTTTAAAAAGTCATCAAATTCATTTTGATAAAAGTCCAACCTTCTCCTGGATGACTCTCTTTCCTTCTGAATGGTTCCAGCCAATAAAGTGGCATAACATTTGTGATCCATGAGGATGTTTTTTTTTTCTCATTGATGTATAAAAATAGATATACTTACTTCTATATGAAAATATACTGTTTCTTAAAAGACCTTATCGGCCTAATATAATGATTTCAGGACATTCTTTAAAAGTCCCAACTTGTTTCGGATGGACCTTACACCCTCTCCTGGTTATCCAGCCACATCGTGAGTTCGCTGGCCGCCTGAGAAAGCAGCGTCCTGATGTGAAAGTCTTGGTACTGTCGGTAGGAGCTGCAGAAGGTGACGTCGCTGGGGGTGACGCCCTTCTGGCAGGCCGACAGCTTCTTGCCGTCGGGCGACTCCCACGGGCAGGGATCGTCGGGGATGTAGTTGACCAGGACCCGCTCTCCTGCGACCACGTCTCGGTAGATGAGCGCCACTCTGGACAGGCGGGGATCGCGGTACGTACCTGGTGGTGGACCCTCTGGTGCCTTTCTCTTCGGCTGGTGCCTTTCTCTTCACCATGTCCTACAGCTCGCGTCTTTGTCTCCATTTCTTCGGGAAATGTGGAGGAAAGTTTTGAAAACGTGTCGAATTGAGTTCGCTACACAAGGTCGCGTTCGAATTTGACAACACGCAGGCGCCGCGTCACATTTGTGACGTCTGGAGAGAACATTCGAACAGAGGTTCGGTTTAGAGAACACAACTTCATTCTCGACTGCACTTGTGCAAGCTTCGTGACATTTTGTCTTATCTAAACTTGTCTTCGAGCTGACAGACTTTAAGGAAACAATTTTATGTCCTTAGTCTTAGATCACAGTAGGCATGGCACATTCTGCACGGAATTTCTGTAGTAAGGCAGTCGTGAGTTTCCCTGTGACGTTGTTTACTCCAAACCGAACCTCTGTTCGAATGTTCTCTCCAGACGTCACAAATGTGACGCCTGCGTGTTGTCAAATTCGAACGCGACCTTGTGTAGCGAACTCAACTTGACACGTTTTCACAACTTTCCTCCACATTTCCCGAAGAAATGGAGACCAAGACGCGAGATGTAGGCCAGGGTGATGGCGGGAAGGAGAGATCGTCTGTCCGTCAGGTGCGTCCTGGCATCTGGAGCGTCCTGGCGTCCTGGTTTGCTGAACCAGTCGGTGTGGAAGTGGATCACACCGAGAGTCATGGTTAGTCACGCGTGACGTTCACAGTCACTAACACTCGGACACTGAGGTAATTTCAGTATATCATCTCCCACGTTCAATCATCACTGGTCGATTTATTTCAGCTCAACTACATTGTACCTTTCTATGTATGTATGTATGTATGATTCTGTCTCATCTGAAGTTACTGTTATCGTCCAACTTTATCCATTTTGTCTCCCTAGCAACCGTTTCCCAGATTACTGACACCACTGGACGGTCTGATGATGGCCGTGACTCTGTGGCGACGCCCCGAGAGGCAACTGTTGCCCATCAGGGAGAAGGCGACGTGAAAGGCACGGCCGGTCACAGCCGCGGTCGGGCTGTCCGTCGAGCCGCTCGCTCTTCCCGCAAGGTCAAGCGGTCAGCGTCTGAGAAGACGACTGCTGGTGCATCGATGACCCGTCGAAAGCGACAGAAGAGGAAAGCTGACGTCAGTGACGAGGTCGAAGGCGACTGCCGACCCTAGCCGAAGAGAAAGGCACCAGCGGGTCCACCACCAGGTACGTACCGCGATCCCCGCCTGTCCAGAGTGGCGCTCATCTACCGAGACGTGGTCGCAGGAGAGCGGGTCCTGGTCAACTACATCCCCGACGATCCCTGCCCGTGGGAGTCGCCCGACGGCAAGAAGCTGTCGGCCTGCCAGAAGGGCGTCACCCCCAGCGACGTCACCTTCTGCAGCTCCTACCGACAGTACCAAGGTTTTCACACCAGGACGCTGCTTTCTCAGGTGGCTAGCGAACTCACGATGTGGCTGGATAACCAGGAGTGGGTGTGAGGTCCATCCGAAACAAGTTGGGACTTTTTAAGAATGTCCTGAAATCATTATATTAGGCCGATAAGGTCTTTTAAGAAACAGTATATTTTCATATAGAAGTAAGTATACAGGTATCTATTTTTATTACATCAATGAGAAGAAAAAAAACAATCCTCATGGATCACAAATGTTATGCCACTTTATTGGCTGGAACCATTCAGAAGGAAAGAGAGTCATCCAGGAGAAGGTTGGACTTTTATCAAAATGAATTTGATGACTTTTTAAAACATTAGCATGGAATGATAACAGTACTATACCATGTGTCAAGTCATTGAAATACTATTACTACCACTACCAATATCTATTTTTATACGTCTGAATAAATTCTCTGGCAATATATTGGCTATGACCAAGACAAAATACCCTATATTTATACTGAGCCATTGAAAAGCACATCAAGATTGCATTTATGTACAAAAAGAAGCTACGGAATAATATATGTGCAAAAAATGCGAGTGGTGTTTTTGTAAATCATTATTTTTCTTGTCTGTATTGATGGCCAAGTTGTAAAACATGACTGTCCTCAGACGGAACGACTGATTGTACGTGTACTTTTTTGATAGACTAGTATTTCTGTTCTCTTCGGCCAGGCCCGACGCTTACTAATGTGCATTGTGTACCACTATATAGCAAAGGCCTTGGCACTTTATAGCTATCTGTATGTGTATTCAATTTGGTAGGGCTACAACGACAATTATCAGCTACACCAACCTTCCATGCTATATGGAGTTGAAATATGTGTACCACATGTTTACAATTGCAAAATTTGGAAGCTCATACGTATCTCAATGATATCCAAGGGAAAACGACTTAAGTCCGGCATGGCAGCAGACATCTTTTGCCTTTTTTTTTTGACATGTTGAGCAATATTTGTCAGAGGGCAACAAAATTTCCTGTTTTATTTTGTCAAAATAAGGCGAATATTAATGCGCGCGCTGATGTCATCCATAAAAATCACTTGCTGACATGATGTGGCCTTAGTTGATTTTTGGCACAGTTATGGCTTTAGACCTTTGTACACAACATGAGAAAAAAAGTTTACTCCCTAACGCCCTTTTAGGAGAGGTTGGTGGGGAGAATTGATCCTTTTGTAACATGCTCCTTTTT